GTAATGAAGAAAAACTTTAATATAAGTTTAATTAAAGTTTTTCTTCATTACCCATTCAAGCCGTCTCCAGCCATTATTATATGTTCGTGTTTTTCATATACGTAGATGTGTCGTAAGAACCACTTGGTTTACAGGACTAAATAACCATGATCCAGTACCAACATATGTTCGTGTTGTTCATATACGTAGATGTGTCGTAAGAACCACTTATTTTGCCACATAAAATAATACGTTTCTTTCACCAAGTGATGAGTTTATCACATAGGATATTCACTAGTTATTAGTTACGATACAGAAGTTTTAGTCGATAAATAAAAACATACGAACCTCGCACTTCCCGGACATGACGATCGTACTCTCTAGAAGAACAAACATTTATACCATCTTGCACGTGCCAATGATGTTGCTCCTGTTGGAGGACGGCAGAGATTGAACGTGGTTGTCGCGGGGACCGAGACGTCGCCATACAATAACTGATTATGAACAGTTCACATAAATATTGATGTTGTTTAAATACTTCCCGACTATGTTGTTGTCTTATTGGGTAACCAAACACACACTGAAGGCACGAATGTTGTTCCCGCATATAAACGTGTTAGTTACCTACACGCTGGACCTTCGACCTTGCAAATAAATTCGGTTTTATGCATAATCCCACTGTTCTACAACATATTCGAAACACCTGCCTACCAGTGAGTACCAGAGTGGAACAGGGCAGGTGACAGATAACTAAAACTGATGTTATGAGAGGAGTGGGTGGGTACCTGTCACGTATATTGTAACTAAATTATAACAGGTATTTAGCTGCTTTCGTATTGACGTACTTATTAAAGGAGCTGAGATGCGCATGCACATGCTGCAGTAACAACAGTGCAGCATTCACGAACACAATTCTTTCTGATTGGAGTAAAAACTATAACAGTACTGATACACAGGTGTATGAGAAACGTGAGAACTTATTCAGACTCCACGAGAATCGGACCGCCTACAGTTTGAGTTTAAATTCCCTGATGAAGTCATGCCAGAGATGAAAGAAAAACTAATGATGTAACATATAACAATATCGTACAGGGAATGTGCCTAAATGCGGTCTTTATTATCAACCTATGACTTAATGGATTTTCTATGTTCATCTATCTAACTTGTTAACCTAATTTTATCTTCGAAATACATATGATAAATCTCTCTTTATAACTTATCTTGATTGTCTATCTAGCCTAAAGCTGTACAATGGGCTATCTACAGTCTGCTAACTACGGGATCCAGGGATCGTACCCTACACTTCAGCGTTATAAGCCTTCAAACCTAACGCTTAACCACGGGAGCCTTTACATATCTTAGATATTTTTATAACTTATATCAACATTGTGACGTCACTTAAAATACATATGACAAAGTTGTGACTTGGGTTTCTCTATACCTTATATCAACATTTTGACGTTAATTAAAATATGTAAAACAAAGTTGTGACTTGGGTTTCTCTGTACCTTATATCAACATTGTGACGTTAATTAAAATACGTATGACAAAGTTGTGACTTGGGTTTCTCTATACCTTATATAAACATTGTGACGTTAATTAAAATACATATGACAAAGTTGCGACTTAGATATTTTTATAAGTTGTACCGACATTGTGACGTTAATTAAAATATGTAAGACAAAGTTGTGACTTGGGTTTCTCTATAACTTATATCAACATTGTGACGTTAATTAAAATACGTATGACAAAGTTGTGACTTACATATTTTATAAGTTGTACCAACATTGTGACGTTAATTAAAATATGTAAGACAAAGTTATGACTTAGATATTTGTATAAGTTGTACCAACATTGTGACGTTAATTAAAATACGTAAGACAAAGTTGTGACTTACATATTTTATAAGTTGTACCAACATTGTGACGTTAATTAAAATATGTAAGACAAAGTTATGACTTAGATATTTGTATAAGTTGTACCAACATTGTGGCGTTAATTAAAATACGTATGACAAAGTTGTGACTTAGATATTTTATAAGTTGTACCAACATTGAGACGTTAATTAAAATACGTATGACAAAGATGTGACTTAGATATTTTATAAAATATCATAAATGAAGTAGAAATTGAAAATTCTGTAAAGACTTTTACTCTTCCGATGTTTGACCGCCTGCCGATAAACACGCTCATCGGCGAGTAGGTTCTCGGTTCACGATCACAACTGCTGCTGGAAGTTTGCGTGAGCTTTACACAAGTCCACAGAGTCCATTTATATGTAGAATATATAGCTTTTATAAAATATAAAACTGTCACCCGTACCGTGATGGTAACTCCATAGATCAAACTCAAAGTTCATTGGTCTATTTTTCAAAGGACTTAAAACATTACTTTGTTTCTAGGCTGTCACTTACTAATTATGTTGTTGTGTGACAGAGACCCACCTACGTACATCCTGTCCAACTTTGTTTAAATATATACTAATATATGCTGCTTTCACATTCCAAGAAAACTATAGTTTTTTTTTCTCTAATATATTTAAAAGCATCTTATCATTTAATATACTACAAACAATACTAATTTCCCATGTAATACTTTAAACTTCTTGTAATAGCTATTAAGTCCCACTCACTAATAGGTTCTAAACCACATGACAAGATGTGCCTAAAATGATAGTTTTGTTTGTTGTTAAGCTTCAAAAGGAACTGTCTGCTGTGTTCACCACCAGTATCGAAACCTGGTAAATATGTAACCAATGAGGATAAACTATCGGACGTACAAGTACATATCAAGCTACAATTTGTTGTTACAGTTACAGTACAGTGTTGGCCACATTAGACAACCAATGAGGATAAACTATCGGACGTACAAGTACATATCAAGCTACAATTTGTTGTTACAGTTACAGTACAGTGTTGGCCACATTAGACAACCAATGAGGATAAACTATCGGACGTACAGGTACATATCAAGCTACAATTGGTTGTTACAGTTACAGTACAGTGTTGGCCACATTAGACAACCGATGAGGATAAACTATCGGACGTACAAGTACATATCAAGCTACAATTGGTTGTTACAGTTACAGTACAGTGTTGGCCACATTACGCTTATCGGCAGAATGAACTTTGAGAGGCATACTTTGTTAAGATAACGTGTGTGTTGAATTAACAAAAGGTTGTAACCAAGCTGCGTGTTGAGAGTTAAGGCCTCTACAATATAACATATGAAGAGTAACCAAGCTGCGTGTTGAGTGTTAAGGCCTCTACAATACAACATATGAAGAGTAACCAAGCTGCGTGTTGAGTGTTAAGGCCTCTACAATACAACATATGAAGAGTAACCAAGCTGCGTGTTGAGTGTTAAGGCCTCTACAATATAACATGAAGAGTAACCAAGCTGCATGTTGAGAGTTAAGGCCTCTACAATATAACATATGAAGAGTAACCAAGCTGCATGTTGAGTAGTTAAGGCCTCTACAATATAACATGAAGAGTAACCAAGCTGCGTGTTGAGAGTTAAGGCCTCTACAATATAACATGAAGAGTAACCAAGTTCCTACAACTACATTAACAATCAAGTCACGGTGTTTTCCACATGATTAAATTAACAGTTATCATGTAGTTTTGTTCCTACAACTACATTAACAATCAAGTCACGGTGTTTTCCGTACGATTAAATTAACAATTATTATGTAGTTTTGTTCCTACAACTATATTAACAATCAAGTCACGGTGTTTTCCGTGTAATTAAATTAACAATTATTATGTAGTTTTGTTCCTACAACTATATTAACAATCAAGTCACAGTTATTTCCGTGTGATTAAATTAACAGTTATGGTGTAGTTTTGTTCCTACAACTACATTAACAATCAAGTCACGGTGTTTTGATTGTTAATGTAGTTGTAGGAACAAAACTACACCATAACTGTTAATTTAATCATACGGATAACTGTTAATTTAATCATACGGAAAACACCGTGACTTGATTGTTAATGTAGTTGTAGGAACAAAACTACACCATAACTGTTAATTTAATCACACCGAAAACACGCGACTTGGATGTAGTTTTGTTCCTACAACTACATTAACAATCAAGTCACGGTGTTTTCCGTATGATTAAATTAACAGTTATGATGTAGTTTTGTTCCTACAACTACATTAACAATCAGGTCACGGTGTTTTCCGTATGATTAAATTAACAATTATGGTGTAGTTTTGTTCCTACAACTACATTAACAATCAAGTCACGGTGTTTTCCGTACGATTAAATTGACAGTTATGGTACAGTGTTGGTTGTATCACTACGGTATCAAGCAGAACAAGTTGTGTGTTAGTGTAAAACTGATCTTGAACTTCTACTTGTTTAAGAATGAAATAAATGTGTTAGCATTTACACAAAGAACCTGTTTATTTTGTCAAGCAGCAAGCCTTATTACCGGTTTACGGTTTTCACAACAAAATCAGATAACAGAGTGAATCGTCTTTATGACACGTGTTTTTTGTTATCAGAGCTTTGTATGAATTGAGGCATGAAACTTCGTAGAAATGCTTGTTTGTTTGTTTTGAATTTCGCGCAAAGCTACACGAGGGCTATCTGCGCTAGCCGTCCATAATTTAGCAGTGCAAGACTAGAGGGATGGCAGCTAGTCATCACCACCCACCACCAACTCTTGAGCTACTCTTTTACCAACGAATAGTGGGATTGACCGTCACATAATAACGTCCCCACGGCTGAAAGGGCGAGCGTGTTTGGTGTGACGGGGATTCGCGAAGATACGCAGAAATATACTAATGAGTTCGTATAATAAATTCGACCACGGACAAGTTCTTCAGGTCTTTCATTAATAACCAATGTGATTTCGAACCTTTTTATAGATACAGTAAACGAGCATGTAAGGAGGGAGGGTTTCGACCGAACCCCTGTTATTGATATATAAAACAATCATGCTTATATATTTATAGCGCAGCTGCTTATGGTATTTAACCTTTTCTACACAGTCTACATTCTTCTGATGAAGTATTATAATTTTTTGGCTTGAAACAGTCGCATGAACTCCGTAGCATTAGCATGCCGGTTACGCTAGATACAATATCTGTTGGCTTTTGATCTCACAAATTAAAACCCCTCTTTCAGACATTCTGTGTACGAGCCTGGTATATCTGAATGATTTCACACCAGACATACAATTTTGATCAAATTAACTAAAATTGTGACAAAATAAGTGTAATACTTCGATGACGTCAAAATGAAAACCAACTATTTAAGTTCACTAGGCCTCTGACTAACAGACGAAAAAGGTCGAACGTTTTAAAGATTCAGAAATTCATCTTCGTTCTTGTTTAAGTCACTAGGATTGAGTTTAAAAGGAATTACATAGCTACATTTCTTGTTACTATATCTTTGAATAATAGAAATTATTATATCCATCTTCGTCCAGATGCAAAATATTTAAACAATTATAGTTCAGAACTCTGATCTTTTCAAGATGACAGGGCATAATTCGAAGGGACGTTGAAGAGTGAAGATGCTTTATTTATTTCCAAATTAATACTTATTTTAATTTCTTACAGATGCTCTAATTAATTCGAGTTATTCTGAGAATAAAATATTTAACTTGAATCAGTTTACTTAGATTGTGCGATTACTATGTTATTAATACCAAATTAGGCTTACATTTGTTTACCCTGTTGCTATAGTGTCGAGCAGAAATTAAATCTTTGCCGTGTATTCCTACCTCCATGTGTTTCAAGCCTCATCTGTAACTTTGCAATTTATATCGTAATCCCCTCTTCTCTGT